GTTAGGGTCAAGACTTTCAACTCGAAGATGACTCGAATATGACCCGTTTAATTATATATTATTTATTATAAGTTTCGTATTTTTTATAAATATATTATATGTTATAGACTTGTAGTGGGCCAAACTCAATAATTAGAAGTAATATTCAAATTTTCAAAGTTACTCAATTTTAGCCATCCTCACCACCTATCCCTTTTGCTCCCCAACTTTAACTCTTTTCATTTTTTTTCTATACTTACTATAAATTTTGTCATTCCATCTCATAACTCCAGTGTTTCACTTTTTCCTTTTTTGCCTCCACAACTCCTACTTTCCAACCTTTAAAATAAATCAGCCCGACATGACACAACATATTTACAAGGTCTAAACCTTAACCCGAAACCGACACGAAAATAAATGGGTTGACACGGCACGACACGATAATTAAACGGGTCGGGTTAGGGTCAAGCCCTTTCAACCCGTTTAATTTCTTGACACGACACGAACCCAACACGACACGACACGTTTGTCAGCTCTAACTGTAGGTTGAAGGCTAGTGGTTGATGGTTATTGGATTTGGAGAGAGAGAGAGAGAGAAATATATATATATATATATATATATATATATATATATATATATATATATATATATATATATATATATAGAAAGAGAGAGAGAGAGAGAGAGAGAGAGAGAGAAGGGATTAGATTTAATATATAAATATTTGATTTTGGTAAAGAGGGAAAAAAGTGTTATAATTTTAGTAAAGAGGGAAAATTGAAAATTTTAAAAGACGAAAAAGTTAAATTCCCTCCAAATTTTGTTTTCATTTTGAACATTCAACTGTCACCATAAAATACTTATAGTCACGTGTTTTATTTATCTGTTATTGTTACGATTTTGTGCTTTTAGATACACATAAAAATTAAAACGTGATTATAAAATATTTTTAGTGACATTTTTTAATAAAATACTTATAACCACATGTTTTTATTCTTTTGTATTCAAAATCATTAATTTTATACATACATATGAAATTAAACTGTTATCATAAAACACTTATAGTGACATGTTTTTTTTTAAATGTCATAATAAATACTTACAGTCACAATGATCTACTGTGACTACTGACTAGTATTTGTAATTTTTTTATGTGAAATGGTGACAAAATGTGTGAAAATAGTTTGCAATCGTGACGGTTTTTAAATAATATGAATAAAACATTACTGCAATTTGATCAATGACCTTTAGTGACACAATTAACCAAATCTGTGTCAACCCTATTTTTAAAAGCGTGGCCATAGGTCATTTTTGTAGTAGTAACAATGAGTCATACTTTGGGAGTAAGTATTGATTATGATTGTCGTGAATTGTTGATAGATTGTTTATAGGGATTGGACATTGCAATGAGACTGCTGCAATATTCATGAGTACTTAGAAAATGAGGATTTTAAGTATTAGTTAAATCCGTGCTTATAGATTGCTTCATGAATTCAATCATGGGTAATTATAAGACAATAATATCTTATATTCTTAAAACATGGATATATAAGTTATAGTTTGCAAATCTACTGTGCATTGGTTTAGTCCAACACATTCATAACTAGATGTTATACGGTGTAATTCCATGTATGACTAGGTGAGTAAAATCTATGATTATACAATCAAATTTTAGTAGTTCCTTTTACCTATTTAGGAAAAGCAATACCTTTACGCCCCTTGGTGATTTGATGTTGACATTATAGTGTTGGACCAACTGAGATTAAATTGATGTGTTCAATTAGTAGTTTGATGCCGTCATCATAATCGGGTGATCGAGAAACAAAATCTTTGACAATGAGATTGATTCTAATCTATGTCTCATATCCATACAATATCAGGAAGAATGAAGGGATAATTGATAACTTATCTTAGGGTCAACGTCTAACGAGATTTTGACAATGTCTTTGGAAAACAATCTTTACTTGTTATTTGGGGTTATACTTGCACTTTAGTTAGCAACTTATCTAAGTGAGAGACTGTTGGACTAAGGTGTCTAAGGTTCTAACAAAATTGGTATAATGTTGAAGAATAAAAGTAAAGTCTTTTTTTGGGTTGCCCTTATAACTAGGAAAAGGATTGGAATGATTATAAGAGAGAGACAAATGATTTTTTAATATATTATATGATTAATATATTAATTAAAAATAATAATAATTAACTAAAACTTAATCATAATTAATTTGAAATTAATTCTGGGTTAATTATAATTAATTAAAAGTATAATGGTTGAGCTTTAATTGTTTAATAGTTGAACAATAGATGAAATCTATAGGGGACGGTTTTGGTGCCCTAGATATATATATATAGAAAGAGAGAGAGAGAGAGAGAGAGAGAGAGAGAGAGAGAGAGAGAGAAGGGATTAGATTTAATATATAAATATTTGATTTTGGTAAAGAGGGAAAAAAGTGTTATAATTTTAGTAAAGAGGGAAAATTGAAAATTTTAAAAGACGAAAAAGTTAAATTCCCTCCAAATTTTGTTTTCATTTTGAACATTCAACTGTCACCATAAAATACTTATAGTCACGTGTTTTATTTATCTGTTATTGTTACGATTTTGTGCTTTTAGATACACATAAAAATTAAAACGTGATTATAAAATATTTTTAGTGACATTTTTTAATAAAATACTTATAACCACATGTTTTTATTCTTTTGTATTCAAAATCATTAATTTTATACATACATATGAAATTAAACTGTTATCATAAAACACTTATAGTGACATGTTTTTTTTTAAATGTCATAATAAATACTTACAGTCACAATGATCTACTGTGACTACTGACTAGTATTTGTAATTTTTTTATGTGAAATGGTGACAAAATGTGTGAAATAGTTTGCAATCGTGACGGTTTTTAAATAATATGAATAAAACATTACTGCAATTTGATCAATGACCTTTAGTGACACAATTAACCAAATCTGTGTCAACCCTATTTTTAAAAGCGTGGCCATAGGTCATTTTTGTAGTAGTAACAATGAGTCATACTTTGGGAGTAAGTATTGATTTATGATTGTCGTGAATTGTTGATAGATTGTTTATAGGGATTGGACATTGCAATGAGACTGCTGCAATATTCATGAGTACTTAGAAAATGAGGATTTTAAGTATTAGTTAAATCCGTGCTTATAGATTGCTTCATGAATTCAATCATGGGTAATTATAAGACAATAATATCTTATATTCTTAAAACATGGATATATAAGTTATAGTTTGCAAATCTACTGTGCATTGGTTTAGTCCAACACATTCATAACTAGATGTTATACGGTGTAATTCCATGTATGACTAGGTGAGTAAAATCTATGATTATACAATCAAATTTTAGTAGTTCCTTTTACCTATTTAGGAAAAGCAATACCTTTACGCCCCTTGGTGATTTGATGTTGACATTATAGTGTTGGACCAACTGAGATTAAATTGATGTGTTCAATTAGTAGTTTGATGCCGTCATCATAATCGGGTGATCGAGAAACAAAATCTTTGACAATGAGATTGATTCTAATCTATGTCTCATATCCATACAATATCAGGAAGAATGAAGGGATAATTGATAACTTATCTTAGGGTCAACGTCTAACGAGATTTTGACAATGTCTTTGGAAAACAATCTTTACTTGTTATTTGGGGTTATACTTGCACTTTAGTTAGCAACTTATCTAAGTGAGAGACTGTTGGACTAAGGTGTCTAAGGTTCTAACAAAATTGGTATAATGTTGAAGAATAAAAGTAAAGTCTTTTTTTGGGTTGCCCTTATAACTAGGAAAAGGATTGGAATGATTATAAAGAGAGAGACAAATGATTTTTTAATATATTATATGATTAATATATTAATTAAAAATAATAATAATTAACTAAAACTTAATCATAATTAATTTGAAATTAATTCTGGGTTAATTATAATTAATTAAAAGTATAATGGTTGAGCTTTAATTGTTTAATAGTTGAACAATAGATGAAATCTATAGGGGACGGTTTTGGTGCCCTAGATATGGTTTCTGGAAGCCTCCAAATGATAAAAAAACTAGATAATTACATGATTAAAATATTATTATTTTTAAATTCAAATCTAGGATTTTTGGGGTTATCTGACAGCTATATAAAAGGGTACAACCCTTGGATTTTCGGCCAACATTCCTCTCTCCTATTCAATCCTAGGGTTTCCTCGAGTTTTGGGTGTGACGAATTAGATGCTACCATACTTTTGGAGCTAGGTTTTCCAAGGAGGCTTCAAACATTTGATTAGCTTAATTCGAATTAAGCACTAATGTATGTTTACTACTCATGATTTCGATTATAGTAGAGTTTTTAGTTTTATTTCATAAGTATTTTGATATTAATAGTGAAAAACCATAGATTCATTTAGGTTACATATATCCATAAGAGTTATGAGAAATTGCGCATGTAAAATATTATTGTGACCTAAAAACTCCAATAAAATGCTCATCCTTACTTAAACTTTGTTGTTGTAAATTTGTTATTATTGTTAATTAGATAGATATTGTTATAAATTACTTTTTGACAACACATTTTATAAATCTATAACCTTTAATAGATTACTTTCAAATATAAATATGTTATTTATTTAAAACTACATTATGTAATATGCAATGGCCCAGTATACTACTTGTTAATGTGCAAATGTAAGAAGTCTTTATTTTCAGTGATGATGTTAGATACAACCAAATTAATTTTGTTTTATTGAATTATAGAAAAAGCAAATAACATGTTATTTGTCAAGTAGCATATAAGAAATAATAATTTTTGAGTTTTTAAATCTTTCATTTTTGTTCTTATATCAAATGGTGTCCCATTCTTGCATGAACAACTCAAGCTCTCTCTCTAAGTAAGAGAGAGAAAGAAACGAAGGGTTTAAGGAAAACAAGAGTGAGTGAATAAAAAACACAAGTAGCAGTGGCGAGAAGAGTCTGAGGATACCTATTGGGCAATTGCTTTATGTGCATTTTCACCGGCGATGTCATATCCCGGCAGACGGAGGGTTTACTTGCTGCTTCTGTTCATCATCTTTTCAGTGCTACAAATATGGATTCTTAGCAGTGACCATTGCAGTATAAGATCAACAACACCACCGCCGCCGCCACCACCACCACCACCACCAAGTTCAGATGCAGTTAAAAGATCAGAGCTTCACAGAAAGTTCTTCAATGGCAGATTTCCTCATCTCTCCACAGACAAAAACTTTCAAGAAAACAAAAGAGTTGTACCAAGTTGCCCAGATCCTCTTCACAATTAACAAATGTTTGGTTCATCTTTTATCCTCTCTTGTTGGCTAATTCTCCAAAATACCCACGGTTTCCACTCTTTTTGTGACACCATTTTCGTAGATTTCGTAATATTAGGGCTAAACCGTCGGTATTTTGGTACCATTCTACTTCAAAATGCTTCTCTCTGTTTTCTTGTTTGATAGATCAAGAAAATAGTTTGATCATGATTCATGATGTATATGATATATTTTAGATTTGAAATTTAAACTCTACAGCATCATCACATTCCCTGCTTGCTTGAACACCTATCTATGTCTTGTTATCTGATTATTTGACATATTGTTGTTAATTTACTCGATATTATTGTCCGCAGGTAGCTACTAGCTAGGCCTGGGCCTTCAAATTTAATGGTACTTATAAACTATAAACTCACAGACACAATTATTCAATCATGGCTCGTTAATTTTGACTATATTTGTCATCGACAATAATATTATAATCGTTTTTTACTATACTACCCTCTATGTAACATGCAAGAAATAATATTTATTTCATGGGACACTTCAAACCATATTCGAATAAAAATACAACAAAACTTATATTGGTTCATGGTTGTAATTTTAAAAATATTGGTTGTATGACTTTTGATAGAATCAATAACGGGATGCACATGTAGCATTACACGTGTACTACAACTATGACGATATACACTTATGATCTCACGAGCTCGTTAACATGACATAAAATCGACCAAGGTACAAGACATTGTCAATGTTCGAGAGAAATCCTAGAAGTTCTAAGCTCTAGTCACTTCTTAAGATCGATATATCATCGTAGTTTTAATGTATGTGTAGTAATAGTGTAATCTATATATGTTTATCATGTAACATCCCACGTGAAGTCATGTGTTTTTCTCTTGATTTCATAAAATATTTAACAATAAACAACATGAAAAAGAATCATATTTTGTTGATTAGCAGAAGCCTTTGACTTTCTGATTTTTTTTGACTTTGAGATTTTGAACATGTAAATCTTTTTACCTTTACTTTTAGCATGTTTTAGTTATTATTTATATGTAATTCTGAAATATAAGTTGGTGATTAATCAATCGCGTAGATACGTAAAGAAAAAGTATTGAGCCATAATAGTAGATATATTTTTTTAAAAATTTATAACTTTTAAACATTAACTCATCGCTACAAAAAGTTAAAAAAAATTCGCAATAGAAAGATTTTTCCATAAACTTATTATTGAGATCCATCGATTTTATTTATATCAACTTATTGTTTTATTTATTTATTTTTTATATATCGCTTTTCCATTGTTGCGGCCTTGGTTGCCTCCATTGTCTCCAAGTACTTCATTCCACTTGTTGTCATCATTGTTCACATTGTTTTAAACTTGAGGTGCCATAGTGGAGGCACAATCAGGGGCGGAGGATCTTATGGACGAAATGTAAGGAATTATACCGGTAATACCTTGACGCCCAAGAAAAAATATGTAGACAAAACAAATGAGGAACAGAAGGGAAAAAACTGTGACAAATGATTTTATTGTTTTAAGTCTCTATCAAAACTAACGAGTATATGCCCTTATTTATACTAATGAAAACAGTAATTTAAACCAATACAAAAACTGTCAAAATAAAAGTTTCCCCAAATGCCTGTGGACTTAAAATTGCCTTTCAAAATCGATTAACCCAAAAATCATCCCCTTATCCGTTTTGATCATACCACTCACAACAACAAACCTTTTGATTGTTGACAACACATATGACATATACCATGACATTCCGTTGAACATGTTCATTACTATCTAGATTTTTTTCCGGATTCCCGACCTCTCCCCGGCCACATCCAAAGTCATTCGATTTGAACTCCAACACCATAATGTTCACACCGTGTAGTTTCTCCAATCTCTTACTCTGTTTTGATCATTGTTGTTCAAAGAGACATCTCCACCGACTAAGAAAACAAAGCCACCCGCTTCACCATTTACTTTCAACCTGCCAAACAAATTGAATCTAAAGCTACCTGCGTTGACGGATCCTTTATGCCCGCTTTTCACGCACCTATGCCAGTCTCCCCTTATCATGAACAAGTCGATCTTTCTTCCACGCTAATCATTGTTGTCCGATTAATGTAAACACAACCCTTTGATTTTTCTACCTTTTGACATCAATCAATCAACGTCTTATTCTCTCTTTTAACAACCCAGACCTCTTTAATCAAGCTTGTTTCGAGAGTACTCTTCCACCAAACAACAAGACAAGGTCACGATACTGTCTTTTATCACTCGCAAAAATGATCTTAATCAAAGCCACCCGCCTTAATGTCTTTCCGCTCATCTTTTCCGCACATCCAGTTAGTATCTCGTTACCTTAAGTAAAACAAGCCCGATCAAGAGAAATCGGGGTTGCTTGCGATCAAAACCGAATCACAGCCCTTTCAACGTAACACGATTCCTGCTACGTCAGCCTTGCAACGAAAGGCTATACTTTTCTTGAAACCGACTCTCAAACTGGCGGCCTTACGTCTTCACGAGCCCTAGGATCTGATACCAAATGTAAGGAATTAAACTAGTAATACCTTGATGCCCAAGAAAAACTACGTAGACGAAACAAAGGAGGAACAGGAAGGGAAAAAAACCATGACAAATGATTTTATTGCTATAAATCTCTATCAAAACTAATGAGTACATGCTCTTATTTATACTAATGAAAGTAGTAACCTAAACCAATACAAAAATTGTCAAAATAGAAAGTTTCCAAAAATGCCCCTGGACTTAAAATTGCCTTTCAAAACCGATGAACGAAATTCATCGGGTATCTTGTGTACCTCTTTGTCGTGTATACCCATGGTGTGAAATAGATGTCTTGCAACTTGGTTTGATCTAGCTATTCGTTCAGTTTTAGGATCGAATATCATCATGGATGTACGCCCATTTTGTCTTGTACACATGGACTGGTATGTCTGCATAAACAATAACCAATTGTAGATTCAAAACTAAAAATAAAATTAAATAGTGTAGAAAAACATTGACTACTTAAACACAATATAAGTCATTAACTCAGTAAAAAATAAACCAACTCAACAAAGGTAGTAGGACAAGTTGGGTCGAATCCACCATTAGCCGGTGGTTAGTTTATTTGTTTAATGTTAGTGTACATAGTATTGTATTTATTAGATAACATTATAAATATTATCTGTTCCGTTGTTCCGGTACACTCGAGCGCTTAAGCGACAAATTTATAATATGCGAGAATATACTTACCTTTATATTCACCTATGAGTCTTAAGTTTCTCCGTCGCGCCGGTATGTGAGATGGTTTTACGGCAAAAAAAATATGTGACAAAGATTTGTTCTCGCGTTCTCAATTGAACCTTCCGCCCATATATATATATATATATATATATATATATATATATATATATATATATAAAGTTTTTTTAGAACTTAAATATTTACGAGAACTCAAAAACTAATAATCCACTATTTAAAAAAAAAAACCAAATATCACCAATATTCACCAAATGTTACTTCTATGAAGGATCAATACTAAATAAAAGATTTGACGATTTTTTTTTTGTAAATATGCATATATGCACATTTAAATATGTATGCATGCATATTTATGTTTTCTATGTTTTTTTTGACGTTTTCAAGTTGCGATTCTATTAAGCTCTACTATTGGAGTCTCATTATTGTGTTGGTTCTAAAAAACTATTGAAAAAGCACAAATATACATGCATGCATATATACGAACATTCAAATGTACATACATGCACATTCTGAAAAAATATTTATATAAATCAAAAAATAATTAAATAACAACTAAAAAAATACACTAACCGACACCACTCACCACCTAACTAACACCACCTACCACCCATCACTCACCACCACCCACCACCATCCATCACCACAACCTACAACTCACCACCACCACCACCACCTCCAACGCCACCGGCCAACGCTGCCACCCACCACCAACCACCTACCACTCTCCACCACCACCTACCACCAACAACCCCAACCACCCCAACCACCCCCACCCCCACTACAACCCACCCCTACTACCACCACCACCGACCACAACCATTATCCACCATCCACCACCTACCATCTACGACCCCCATCAACCACCACCATCCACCACCCTACCCGTCACCACAACCAACCACCCCACCACCCACCCACCCATCACCACCCATTTCCACTACTACTCATCACCCGCTACCTAAAACTACCACCTCTATATGTGATTAAATTCATATAATCATATAAATCATATGTGGATAAAGAACAACTTTTGAATCTGTATTTCAAAAACAAATCTTATGTACATAAATCACATGTTATTATATACACGAGAATAAATATTAAATTAAGAAAACAAAAACGTATCTTGTCCATATAAATATTAAATCATATGCGTTTATATATATATATATATATATATATATATATATATATATATATATATATATATATATATATATATATATATATATATAATCACATGTGATTAAATACAACAACAACTAGTGAATCGAGAATGCGAAAATGAAACTTGTCCATGTAAATCATATGTGGTTAGATACATATATTCACATGTGAGTATCCATCTACATATGATTTATGTGGAAAAAAAATTCATTTTTGCATTTTCGATTTAATAGTTGTGCTTGTGTACTTAATCATATGTGATTATATGTATACAATCACATATGATTTATATGTTGGATTAATGTGTCTAAGTTCATAACTAAATTAGTATAAACTTATAATTAGATGCAAAATCCTTTTTGGGTTGTCTTCATAACCAGAAATAGCTGGAAATGCTTTTAGGAGAGAGAAGGATAATTTATTAGATTATTATAGGATTAATAAACAAATTGGAAATTATGGAGAAATGATTTGTTAATATATTATGTGATTAATATATTAATTAGAAATAGATGGTTGATTTGTTATGTTATTATGTGATTAATAAATTAATATGAGATCAATGGTTAAATAATGATTT